ACCTGCCAATCCCACTTCCATGGCTGCAGGTAGCTTTCACTGAAAAAAAGGTTAACAAGGAATTAAAGTCCTGAGGCACAGATATTTTAACACAGTTGTTTATTATTACAGTGAAATATTCAAACAAAACCACCAACTTTTTATGGAAACAATAAAAGTGCAAATATATTTTSGTATTAAATAGGAAATGAATTTATCAACATTTCATTAAAACGGGCTGACACTTTGAGCCTAGAAACACTTTTAAAAAACCCAAACAATAGCAGCTGAACACTTCAGTTTTATCTCTGGTCTTATGATTAWCCAGCAAAAAACAGTTGTACAGGACTGTCCATTACAAACAGACAGGTAAAATTTACATTATTCTGCAGAGGTTCAAAATCAAAAGAGGAATGTTTGCAAGATATTTGGTCAGATAAAATATAATGCCTTTGAGAAACACACAGCATCTTTCAATACAAAATGAAATCACATATATGAATTTTGGTACTGTAAATGAACTTATTCTCTTGCAGGTGAGACACCTTCCCAATTAACGTTGAATAAAACCAACTTCATTTGCACAGTCTTTGCAAAATTAGGTTACAGGCAAGAGAACCAAGAGGCCACATTACTGCTAAATAACACGCTCTTTTTTCCTTGCTTGTGTTTCTGTTTRCACACAGAGGCAACCAGGCTGAATCCATGGTACATTAYAACAGCTACAGCCTTACCCAACAGGTACTCCTAACCTTGTTGTTGTGTATCCATGGGCTGGGAGAGGAGGAGGAAGGCAGAAAGCCCACAGGATTACTCATGGGGGTCAAGTTCTCAGTCCCCCTCCCTGCAGATCACAGATGTAACAGCTCTGGCACACAGCGGGTACCAGGGCTGCCATGTTTCCGTGGAATAAGATGAATACTGTAAAGAAACCCAACTCCCATCAGCTCCTTTTGTCAATCATATTCAGGAATGCATGCTTTAGAGCAGATAAGGAAAATGCATTTAGTATCTCAGTGGTCCAACTGAGCCACAAAGTGCACACGCATTGCCTCATGGCAGGAAGGCCCCTCACTTCAMGCAGGCTCACCCAAGCCTAAGGTGAAGGCAAACACGTGCATTTTCTCCATTGTGAACACAAAACATGCCTTGTTGAACAAAAACTCGCACTGAAGATCTGCCTGCATGGCTGACACCGAGGATTTGCCTCACTTTTTACCCTGATGAATTCAACTGCTTTGGAAATATTATCAAAGCAAAACTCACTTAAATCTCTTTTCCCTGCACTCCAAACTGTTGCTTTCAACAGCTCTCCTCAGGTTTTACCCCATGTCCTTTGGCTTCCTTGCAGGGCATCTTCACTGAGAGTTTACCACCATCCTCACTCACCCCTCAGTCGAACTTTCATTTTCTGAACTATTTACCATCTCTTCTTGCCATGCATTTTCCAATGGAACTCTCTTCTCCTAACCTTACTACACTTTATTTATAAAGTCCTTATCAAGTCCATTACAGGTTTTCACGTATTGTGGCAATACTAAAAAAATGTGCACCCCTCTCCAGAGAGAAGATCCCTCTGCAGAGAAARGGACACAGTGATGTAAACAGACATACAGCTGACTGAAGCCGTCATGATGCCAGAATTAACAGCCCACGGGTTTTTATGYCATGAATTCAGGCAGCCACAAAACCCTGGGATGGCCACCTAGTTCTTCTTTGGGAAAAAGATTCAATGGCTTTGATTGCAGGACTGCATCTTATTTTAAATACCAAGAAACACAAGCCTGCAAAAATTGTACATATCATGGTCTGCTACCAAAAAAACCAAACCCAGGAACACCAATGTAGCTGACTTAAGTCTTAAATACCATGTGCAAAGAACATTTGATCAATACTACCTATAAATACACTATTTGTATTTGTAGAAAGAAGCACAGTGCTTCGAATACAAAAATAACCCAGCTTGTGGGYATGACCTATGCCATAATTACCTGAAAATAAGACTGCAAGAGCAGTTAAAAAAAACACAAGTAGGCAAACATCTGCCTAGGGAGTGTTTCCATTTAAAAAAATAGATTTGTATAAAGCCTCATAGAGTTTGGAAATGTTTGCTTCATGCTCTGATGCACAGAACTGTGAATAAGGCACTCCAATACATCAGGGAGAGGAAGAGCAGGYTAGTAACTTCAAGTTATCCTAAAGCTTCCCAGAAATTACACTTGGTCTTTCACAATTCATTTTGAAACTGCTCACTCAGGACACAGCRTATCAGGTAATCAGGCACTCGTCCAGCTTCCTGAGCACAAGCAATTCAGCAACACATCTTGGGACTTCATATATCAAATACTTGAGTAGGTGACCAAATAACGCAAGGATTTGAAATTCTGAACTTTCTGACATCCTGGCAAACCTGCACAGGGGGCTAAGGAGTCTTGTTAATCTGGCTGCATTACAACTCAACAGGTTATTCCAGCAACTGGGACATAACAGGCAAAAAGTGGCAATTACCTGCCTGATGTTTATTCTTAGAGGACACCAGAATCTGTAGCCTGAGACTGCCAGTCACTGTACCACGGATCAGTGCCAAACAATTCTCAAGTACCCTGATATATTTAACTTCTCCCCATAATCAAATAACAATTTGCTATAGTACAACACTAGAAAGTTCCATCAAGAAAGATTATTTGGTTCAAACACTAACAATCAGACAACTGATTAGGCAGCTGTCCAAAAACTCCACCAAACTCCTACCAGGGAGCTGGAGGGTGCAGCAGACAGCTTATGGCACTGAGATTTGGACTGGTTTAAGGTTTGTTCCAAAATAGTATAGAGAATTTCTTATTTTGTTGTTGGTCCTTGAGGTAAAGCATATTCTAAGAAAATAATACTTCGATACAGAAACAAATAATAAAACTCAACTAGAACCCACAAATGAGCCTCGGTATTCCTTTTAAAGGTTTTCTTTGGGATAATTCAAACACCACTCTTTTAACAAAATACTAATGCCTCCTCAATAGCAATATTTAGTGCAGCYAGTTATCTTAAAAATAAGGCCTTTGTGAAAATAAAGTGCTATTTGTTTCCTTCTATCTGATTTTCAATCCTTCAGTATAACCTTCACTTGAACACAAATGTGAAACTAGATTCTTTACCCTGTTATCAGAGCAGTTTCACTTCTTTCAAGTTTACATTAACATGTGTTACATTTCTATTTAGCACAATGTGCTCAGTTACCCAGGAAATTTAAAGTGCGGCACTGAGCATCTCRAACTGTAATCCACACCCATGCTCTAGTGCTCACCACATGTTAAGAACATCTTGGTACACTGAGGGGGGGTTGTTTGAACTTAAAGGATTTTTAAATTCCAAATGGATTTTGTATCATAAAATCTCAGCAAAAGCTTGATTTTGCCACCAAGACAAAAAGTTAACATGGATTTCTAAAAATGTCTGAGCCTTTTTGTTTGCAAACAGTTGAGTGAAGGCAACACTTCACAACTAAGGCATTTGCCCAGAAATTTCAAAATTTTCCCTCATAAAACCAACGAGATTAAAAGAACAAGAGCCACAATTTCAGTCTCAGCCTGGTCTTCTCAGGTCACGTACAAAACCACAGAAGCACATTTCACCAGTCCCACTGCCCTCGGGTTCTTGAAGCACCAGCAGGTTGGGCAAGGTGATGGATGCCCGAGCGAGTACCCGGTGTCAGCGGCTCACTGTGCCAGGAGCTCATTGTGCCAGGAGCTCACTGTGCCAAAGCTCACTGTGCCGGCAGAGTTCATTGTGCCAGGAGCTCATTGTGCCAGCAGAACTCACTGTGCCGGTGGCTCACTGTGCTGGCAGAGCTCACTGTGCCAAAGCTCACTGTGCCAGGAGCTCACTGTGCTGGCAGAGCTCACTGTGCCAGGAGCTCACTGTGCCGGCAGAGCTCGCTGTGCCAGGAGCTCACTGTGCCGGCAGAGCTCACTGTGCC